CGGCCTAAATTAAGCTTAATTCGGGCCGAACCTCGAAATAACGCCCATGGTCGTTATTTCGCGGTAATACGGTAGGTATATTTGACTTATTCTATGATTTTGTTTAGCTAAGTCCCGGTTTCTTGCTTGTAATTAACGGTTATTGACTTATTATAATTTAAATAATGATAAACTAATTTTATTTCATCAACAAGATGACGTACAGTAAGTACATAATCATTTTCCAGGTGCATGATGCAGTTGTGAAATAATAGCTGACGTCATGTCATATATAGTTACACAAAAACAAAAAAGGTTTAAAGAGCACGTTCACTTACCGTGAGATTAGCCAAGCCCACTTAACATGTCGGAAGAAAAGATTATTTTGAATGTTGGAGGCATAAAGGTATAAATTGCATTAGTAAATTTTATGTTACTTTTACTTACACATATTTTACTTAAACGTTATGCTATTTTTAATGTGTAGTATGAAACTCTTCGATCAACACTCACTTCTCAGCCAGACACATTACTTGGAACAATGTTTCGAGATCAAAATGAATATATTAAAAATTCTGTTAATGGAAACGAATATTTTTTTGACCGTAATGGCAAAGCATTTAACTATATAATGGAATTTTATAGAACTGGAAAGCTTTTATGGTCCACTAAAATAAAGAATCACCAATCAGTTATCAACAATTAAAAGAAGAACTTGATTATTTTCAAATTAATGGAGCGAAAGCATTTTCTTCATTGGCATCAGAAACTGCTATAAGTGCAATTGATCGGTTCATTTCAGTCCTTGAGCAATTAATCATTAGTCATTATGTAAACTTTGACAATAAAATTTCTTTATCAGCTCATAGGTGTAACTTTTCAGTTGATAACAATAACAATAATGATCTATTTCAAATTCTTAACCAAATTAGAGGATTTGCTTTTATTGTTCTATATAATATGCAAAAGCGGATTGAAAAGCATCTAGTTGAAACTTTTTCTGAATTAGATTTAAAATGGAAATGTCGTTATAATGGTAGTAATCATTCCTTTATGATTGAGATTACTTTTTCCTCTCCGATTGAAAAACTATTGAAACTTGAAAATGCTCAAGCCCACATCACATTTGCCAAAACTCCAATCAACGCATCAAATGAAAAGATTATATTAAATGTTGGAGGTAAAAAGGTATACAAAATACTTTTAGCTTTTGTATGTTGTTTTTATATGTAGTATTTATATACATAACTTATATATATTTTTTTATTATATACGTAGTATGAAACCTTTCAATCAACTCTTGTAACGCAACCAGAAACTTTACTTGGAACTATGTTTCAAGATCGAAATAAATGTATGAGACATCCAGTTAATGGAAATGAATATTTTTTTGATCGTAATAGTGAGGCATTTTATTATATAATGGAATTCTATCGAACTGGAAAACTTACTTTACCCAATGAATCTGAAAAAGTTACTTTTAAACAACTCGAAGAAGAACTTAACTACTTTCAAATTCCTTTTAATAAATCGACATTACTTTGTAAATCGGCTTTGGAAACTGTTAGAAATAATGTTAATAACCTCATTTTGCGTTTTGAAGAATTGATCATTCGTTGTTGTGATTGTCTTAGAAATAATATTAAATTAGAAATTAACCATTATGGCATTAATATAGTTAATGATAATGGTTATTATTTTGATGATTTAAAAGATTTAAAACTTTTTTACCCTTCCAATTTTAAGAAATTTAATACTTACTCTACTTTAGACAATATAGAAAAACAAATTGGTAATCATTTGGTTAAAATATTTTCTGATTTAGGGCTAAGATGGAAATTCAGTCGTGAACCTTATAATTTTAACCATTTTAAATTTAAAATCAATATTTCTTTTTCATTTGAAAATGTTTACAAAAAATTTTAAATAAAATATAATTTACGTTTGCGTGTTGCTTTGCTATTATAATAGATAGATTAATTTGCAAAAATTCATTGTGGCCAAATTAACATTTAATTATTTAGCATTATATATTTTTAAAATTGAATTGGTTTAATATATATAGACGATTCTAATATTTTTAGAAATCATATAAACTGTGTTATAAACCTGAAAAACTACTAAAAATTAGTGATGATATGAAATAATATTTTACAGAATTCGTCTAGTTTACAAATGAATCCTTTCTATGCTTTCATCTTGACAATTTAGAGTGCAAATACCATATAATAATTCGTTATCAACTGAAAAATTTTTATAAAATTGTAATATTTCGTATTCTTATATTGAAAAAATACTTTTTTATGGTAGCAATTTTAATTGATTCCTCATATGAACTTTTATTTATTAGCCAAACAATTATTATCTAGATCAAATTCGATAAACTTTTTTATTTGAATTCCATGCATTTGTAGAATTCAAATAAAAAAAGTTCATTGAAATTTGCTTGGTAATTACCCGAGATATCATCACTTAAAGTCTTAAAAAAACTCAAAACGTCTATCACCCTATTTTTTTTTATTCTTTGAGCGAAGATATCTCGACGCTCACCAAGTCAAAATTTAATGAATCTTTTTTTACCTGAATTCTAAGCATCCGTAGAATTTAAATAAAAAAAAAGTCTATTGAATTTGGCTTGGTGATTGTCAAGATATCTTCGTTCAAATTTTTAAAAAACTCAACGCCTATTAAAAAGTTTTTCAATGTTTGAACTAAGATATCTTAACAACCACTGGGTCAAATTCGATGAACTTTTTATTATTTGAATCCTACAAATTTGTGGGTTCAGATAAAATAATTTTATCAAATTTGGCTTGATAGATACTGAGATAATTTCACTCGAAAATAAAAAAATTTGGCACAGCTTCTATTTATAGACGTTAAGTTTTTTAAAAAAATTCGAACGAAAATGTCTTGACAACCGTTTTTTTTTATTTGAATTCAGCAGTTTCTTAGAATTCAGATAAAAAAGTTCATTAAATTTGTCTTGGTGGGCGTCGAGGTATCTTCACTTAAAGAATAAAAAAATTTAGAGTTTTGATCGTTTTGAGTTTTTTAAAACTTTGAGAGAAGATATCTCGGCAACTACCAGGCAAGTTTCAATGAACTTTTTTTTTATTTGAATTCTTCTAATTCATAGAATTCAAACAAAAAAAGTTTATGTTGTTTATCACTACCAATAGGATTATATCTACCAAGTGAGTAAAACCATCATGAAGAAATAATTTAATCATATTAATTATCCGTAGCTAAATATATATCATCTTTCATAAGCAATTTCTGCTGCATGAACTTTCATTAATAACTGTTGACAATTGTTCTATAATTCTTGCAAATAATATTGATTCAAAAATTATTCAGTAGAAAATTGTTTACCGTATTGGCATGTAATAATGCACATGCGCATTATTTCAAAACTTACGTTTTTTTGAAAATAGTTTTTTTTTGACTCAAATTAACACACCCACTATATTACGAATTTTTTAGGCTGAGTTCATAATCAAAAGTAGGACTTCCTCATGTAACCAAATTTATCAAAATGTTACGAATTACCACACATGCACGTTCCCAAATTATGCGCAGTGCCTTGAAAAAATATGCAGATACACATTATTACGCGCCAATATGGTAGTTTGTTATATACTTTTCATGATAATTTTTCAAAGCTTTTTTTAAAAAATTTGATGATAAGGTTGTATATAATAAACATATTATTATAAGAATTTTGAAATAATGAATACAAGATAAACAATTTTGTAGTCTTTAAAGCTAGAAAATTCTTATGTGAACAATATTCAGAACTTGATGATAAGCCAAGACTTTTGCAATGTTCTATACTTTACTTTTTATATTATATTTTATGATAAACAACAATTGATGTTTGAAATTATATATTACAGTTGTATCTTCATATAATCACCTCCTATGTAATCACAAATTCTATATAATCACATAATTTTATATGATCATTTTTTTAATATTAATAAAAATACTTTTATATAAATAATCACAATGATAGTACTATTACTATCATATTTTTTTAAAAAAAATTTACTAATTTATTAATAAAATACCTCTTTAAAATCACAAATTTATAAAAATTTTTCTTTGAATTCTATAGTAGTTGTTGAAATAACTTTAATTAGAATTTTAAAAAGGGAATATTGTTATAGAGCTATAGTGACCATGCGCTACCTTATGTAAATCAAAAAAATTCTGATATTAATGATATACATAGTACTGGGTCCGTATTGTTTCACCGACAATCACTTCATAGACACCACATTTCAAAGACAATTATTCATCGACAAGTTCATTTTACCGACAGTCTATTTCACCGAAGCTCATTTCACC